TCACGGAAGGGCGGGCATAGCTCATTCAGTCAGGTAAAAAGACTGTAGGACACAGCCTAGTCTATTCTCTCTCTGTACTATCCAAAAGATCTGTATTATGCATCACCAAGAGCAAGGAAAAATACTTTCACGGAAGCAACCCATAACAAAAATTTGCAGCTAGAAGTACTTCTAATTATAAGCTCAATAAAGACACAAGTTACTCACTCATTCCAGTAAGTTCTCTTCCTCCTACGACATTTTCCTTCAGAGTTGTGAAGGAACATGGAATCGGGAGTGAAGGGATTTATGTTCACATGAGGTGTTTGTCTGATATCATCTTCTTGCTTCTCCGATTTCCCAACATTCATAAAAAGAGAGCCCCCCCGAAGTTTGACTGAGCTGGAGCCTATTCCTTGTGCTTTAGAAAGCAAACTCTATTAAAAAAACAAAAGACATTTGTATCCTCAATATTGCTTTAGACAGTCGGGTCATGCTTGAAAGCCATCTTGAAAGCCAATATTGTCTTCCTCCTCCTCTTCCTCCTCGCAGTCGCTGTGGCCGCTGGATGCCTTAACCAACTGATTCTTCCAGGTTCCACAGATAACCTCTCCAAGATAACCCATATAGGATTTTGGCACCTAATTTAAGAATCCCACTGAACCACAGGGTTCAGACCTTGTTTTGAGGGTCACAATCCACTTGACTCTTGCACCCCTAAAGGATCTGTTCCTGACTTGGTAAAAGATCAACACAAACCTTACTATTTCCAAGCATGTACCACTGATTTCTACCAGTGAAACCTCATTTCAGATGGGAGCTGCAGAAAACTAATTAACAAGGTTGCTTTCCTTGCACTTTAAGTCAGTTGTTTTCAATCCAAATCTATCGACCCCTAGGAGATTATCCCCAGGGATTATCCCTGGATTACTTCTAAAGGGCTATACGAAAAGTAATGAAGAAAGCAAGCCTATTGTCACTAGATTTAAATTCACTATACGGTGCTTTACATGAATGTTAAGTTCAAGAGTTAAAATTTCTTCTAAAAGTCTATTATTGACAGAGCTAGCTCTCTCTTTAAGCCTTCAAATCCATCAGTTTAATAGCATCGGCGACTCAAACAGCCTTTCACATTTAACGTGGAGCAGCGCAGACACTGAACTTGTACGGCAGTACTCAAACGACACACACCAATGCACCGACAGGCACGCAGGAGCAAGTTCCAACTCAAACTTTAACTTTCTGGTTGTAAAGGTACAAATGCCCCCACAACACTAAGTTTATTTTAGGAGTTTAATATTCTACTTCCACCTCTTTAAAAGTCTTTTTCGCAAAAGCAGGATAGTTTTATATATAAATAACATATAAAAGTGTATTTATAACGTTATATACACGTTTTATATGTATGTAAGTGACGATTATGCCACGCCCCCCGTCACTCTACGGAACAAAACGCACGACTGGAGAGGCGCAGTACTGCTTTCGCTAGCCCGGTCCCCCAGGCCATGGCAGCCCGGG